ACAATTACTAGAAAAACAAGAGTTTATCACCAATAATATTATTCTCCTCATCTAATTATGTCCGCTGCTTTTTTTAATCTCATTAACATTAATACTAGAATTTGGCTCGATAGAACTTGAAGTAGCGCCTTTTGATTTAGAACTTTTTGGAAAAAAATATCTTTTCATTTTGCCCTAAATAATAAAAAGAAAGGCATAACAAATAAAATTCATATTTAAACAAATAAATACAAAGTATATAATTTTATAAAAATATAAATCCTAAAAATATACTTACAAATTCACACCCAACAAGAGACGCGAGAAGTCTGAAACAAAAATCAAAGATTCTAGCATTACACAAACTGCAAAACTAAAAATTAGAGTTAAATAATAAAATAGTGTATTTAGGTTAAAATAAAATATAATTACCTAAATAGAATTTTTTTCTTTTTTCTGATACAAATACAAATATAAGTGATACGCAGTGCCTTCAAGCTTCAATCATTTTCCTCATGCCGATTTTCCGATCCAAATGGCCAAGAATAGAAAAAAAAGTAAAAATGTGAGAAGGGAAAACTGGAGTCTAGAGGGAGGACGAAGTGATAGAAGAAAACTTGAATTGAGGAGAGGGGGGTTTAGGGGTCTGCGCAAAAACAACAATATTTATTATATATTTTTTTATAAATAATAATATAATAATTTTATTTATAGATATATGAATTTAAAAAATAATTTCTTTGTTTAAACCCACAAATGACTCATACTTTATAATATTTTCTTTTATTTTGTTTTTATTTTGTATTTCTTTTTGTAGAGTTTTCTTCTTCAACTCCATTAGATGCAGGCAGCAGCCAACGAAATTTGAGGGGGGGAGGAATTTAAATCTTTTTTTCGGGGCGGCGACGGTCCGGGTCCCTTGGTGCCTCCGCCGCTGCCTCCCACTGGAGCTGCTTCGTCCTGCACCAGTCTCGAGTTTTGTGCTTGAAGTTGTCACTTAGGACACATGTTTTTTGCTTGTTGCTCAAGTTTCCTCGACCACCACTACTGAAGTTTTGTTGCTCAACCCTACACGTGCAGCAATAAATCAACTTCTCCCACTCTCGACTGTGCAAAAATACATCATAGAATTAAAATGTAACAATTAAATACAATTGTTAAAAACGTATCACGTCTGTTGCCACTTAATGTTTTGATGCATATATAGAATAGTACCCCAATAGAGGAAATAACTCCAAAGAATCTTGCAGCTCCATTTTAAATTTATTTCCAGCATCTTCGAGAATGCCTTGTTAGAACTTAATACCTTAACTTGGTGAATCATTTACTCCATTATTACGGTACATGTAAATGTAGGTGCACAATAAACAAAACTAGTGATGAAGCATGACATCTGCATGTATTTCAATTGCAAATTGAAACCAAATTTATCATCTTTCAGAATCTTAGAATGGTATACGCAATGGAATATTTCAATAGATGAAATTGATATTTGTTTCTACGAAATGAAAAATGTATCTCCCAGACTCACCAAAAGTAGTTGTTCTTTTAATATACAAATAAGCTTGATGATCTCCAATCATAATGAGAGAATCCTAGCCTGAAGGTTTTATCCCATCTTTCTCATGAGAAACAATACAAAATCCTAGCTAATTGAACCAATAAATCGAGAAAGAATTGTCGCAGGTATGCAGAAATTTTAACACCTAGGCCAATTTTAAACATCAGCCATGCCAGAAAATATCATTATACAGAACTATCAATCATGCATGATGGACATTTTATTGCTATGTTGCTTTGTATAAATGTATTACAAAAACAAAGGCCTATTTTCAAATGTTCGAGCTATTGTCTTTTATATGCTGATTTGATGAAAAAGCAGTGAACTGGATTGAAGTGTTGTTCGTAGATTTGGAGTTGATAATAGACCCTTTATTTGATTGTTTCTCTATCTTGCGTTTGTTGCTCGCCACCGTCCAAATCCGCAGCGGAATTTTAGTTTCCCTCCAATGTGTTGCCCCTCATCTCATTGCTCAAACACAAACATCCAAAGCAATTATACTAAAATCACACAACTAAATCAACTCAATATCAAGTTTGGGAGAGAGTGCTAAATAAAAACGGAAAGCCCTAATAATCGAACAATCCCCAGTCAGAGGCAATTGGGCAGCGGCCACTAAAGATAGAGTTTGTGGAGAAGAAGTAACCCTAATCATTGTTTATTTTTATAAAATTCAAAAGAACCTTCTAGATAGTTGAAACTATTTTTTTTGTTACTAAAAAATATATATTTTTATTTATTTATTCTACATATTCTACACTCTTCTAAATGTTATAATTCTAGTTGAATTCTTTTTTTTTTTTTTTAAATCATATTCATCAAAACTTTCTAGATAGTTATTTTTTTTTTAAAAAAAAATATATACATCTTTTGTTTATTCTAAACTTTTCTAAATATACTGTATTTTATAAAACTTTCTAGATGGTTGAATTTTTTATTTTTATATACTATCTCTTTTATTTATTTATATTAATTAATTCTAGACTCTTCTTCATCTTTTATATCTTTTATGTCACTTGTGTTTTTTTGGATATATTTTATTATTATATTTTTTTTATATATATATAGTATAAAAATAATCATCAAAATTTATACAAAAGAAATATCTATTAAGCAAGTAATGAAATGTAACCCAACCTAAAGATTGTAATAAATAGATTCCAATATATTTAAATTTTAGACAACTAATAATTAAATACATGTCCAGAGATCACTCCCACAAACACATCACTGTTATATGTATAATTTCACAAAGACGTATCACCACACACCCCACTCATCTAACCTAATTGCGCCACATTGAGCTTGTCAATCAGCACTTTTTATCACACTTTACATATGAAATATAATCCTCATGTTCACAATCATTTGTATCCACCGTGTCAGTCAGTTTCTATCCCTTTATATATACATTCAACAACATCCCCATTTATATTGGCTTGCATCACATAAAATATTTGTTTTCAATTTCTTGGGGTTTTTTTTTTTTTTTTATGTGTTGCAAGTAATCTATTCTTCAATCAAATTCTATGTTGAATAAACCAAACCAAACAAACCAAAATCGTGCAAACAAATAAACTACATGAGAAAATTCAAAATTAGCGACAAAAAACTGAGAAAATCCAATCCCAATACAGAACTCTATTTTAAATTGAAGAAGACTTGAATATATATTTGTCAATATAGATTAATAATTAGTATATATACATATAAAGATACAAAAAGTATTAATAGTTTTTAAATCACTACAAAAAAAATATCAATTTTGTAACAAAATTTTTTTGTTCTAAATCCCTTTTTTCCGTTACTAAAGGCATTAGAGATGGAATTAGAGAGAGAATTGCGTTAACTACATACACTTTAGGAACGAAATTCCGTTACTAATATACTATTTTATTTTTGTAGTGAATATGTCGTTGCTCAATATATAATTTTCAATAATGATGAGTAATCTTGTGCTATAATTTTAATTATTTTTAATATCCGTGTTGTGACTTTACCTTTAACGCTAATTATATTTTAATATCAGTGTTGTGACATTACCTTTATGACCTTTTTTGTGTGTCTGCACTATGGTGCTGCTTCACTTGTCATTTTTACAGCGGTTAAAAAACCGCTACAAATGGCCATTTTTTGTTATAAAAAACTATTTGTAATGATTTTGTACCGGATTTTGTCCGGTGCATATAACTCAAGCTACCAGAAGTCTCTGTACCAACTTTTTTCGTTACAAAAAGTGGACGGTCAACGCACTTCTTAATCACTTATTGTAACGGTTTTTGTAACGCGAACTTTGAATTTTTGATGAATTTGTAACGGATATTTCTCGTAATAAAAGAACCGTTACATTAAATGTTCATCCATTTGTAACGGCACTTGTTACGGTATAATTTTGTTACAATTGCTCATTGTCAGAAAACTAATCAAAACAACATTAAAACTTTTTGTAACGGTATTTGTAACGACCACAATTTCGTAACAAAAAAAATATTCTTATTCTTATTCAGAAACATATCTTTTTTGTCAAGGGGTGGTGAGTATGGATAATAAAAAAAGTAGCTCAATTTCTTCATATGGCGTCAAATGAGTGTCCTCCCCATATCTTAAATCCTTCAGGGAAATCAATTCATCCTTTGTTTCTTAGTAAAAAATACACCTGAACTTTCAAAGGTAAGGGATAATGCACTTCCATTCATTTATGAAATTAAGGTCTTTTCAACTATTTTGTGGTTTACTTTGAAATTATGATAACCCTGCATATGTTAAATATAATTTGCAATCCCAAAATAAAAAGAATAAGGATTCCAAGGCACCAATTCTCAAGGCAGTGAAGATTCAAGAACAAACTTTTACTATTCTCAATGTATTAATAAATTTTACGTACTACAAATAATTTTCCTATAAATACCCATGTAGTATGCGCATTTGAAAAACAAGAAAGCATCAACATTTCTTTGAAATAAAATTTCTCTCTACTATAATTCTCTTCCACAACTCCTTATTTCCAACAAATTTGGTATGAGAGCATTAGGTTTTATTATTAAAAAAAAAAAAAAAAAAAAGAAAGAGAAGATGGCTTCATCATCAAATTCGGTTTTCAATTATACCGGTGCCCAAATTCCCATTTTCAATGGAGAACATTTCGATTACTGTAGTTAGCAGATGGAGACCATTTTCATCTCACAAGATTTGTGGGATGTTATGGAAGATGGTTATGAAGAACCACCAGATGCAACAACCGAAGATTGGACAGAAGAAATGCAGAGAAATTATACGGAAAATGTGAAGAGAAATGCGACAGCATTGAGGTTTATCCAGCAAGCTCTTGGTAAAAACCTATCTACCCCAGAATTTTTGGCATTAAGAAAGCGAAAGAAGCTTGGGAGATTCTGAAAACAGAGTTTCAAGGTGATTACCATAAAGCTGCAATCTCTGTGGTAGATAGGTTGAAACATTGTCTATGAAGGAAAATGAAATGGTACGCGATTTCTTCTCAAGAGTCGCCGAAATAATCAATCAAATTAAAAGTTGCGGAGAGGAAGTTCCAGAAAAAAAAGTAGTGGAGAAGATTCTGAGAAGTTTGCCGCATAAATTTGAGCACATCATTGTTGTCATCATTGAGACGAAAAATCTTAGGACACTCACTCAATTCGAACTTATGGGAACCTTGGAAGCCTATGAGCAAAGAATGAGCAACTGCAACAACAAACCATTAGAACAGGCTTTTCAAGTAAAGACACACATTTCCAAGAATTCATTGCAACAAGGAAGACGGGGATCTTCCTTCGGTCAAGCACCCGGGAGAGGGCGAGGCCAAAAATTTCAGAACAGGGGTAGAGGGAAAGGTGAATTTGAAAAATCAGATGTAGAGTGTTACGTGTGCAATAGAAAATGCCACGAATCAAGAAATTGTTGGTGGAGATGCAAGACATGCAAGGTGCCAAACCATGCGGACAAAGATTGTTGGCATAAACAAAAGAACAAACAAGGAGAAGAGCAGAAAGAGACACACTTCTCAGCAAGGGATGAATCATGTAAGCTATTTATCTCCCGATCAGATAGTACAAAATCAGCCACGATGTGGTACTTGGACAGCGGCTGCAGCAACCATCTATCTGGAAATCAAGAAGATATCCATGAAATTGATAGAAGCTACTCCTCACATGTTGAGCTCGGTGATGGAAAGAAGGTGACGATTGACGGAAAATGAATTGTTTCCGTTCAAACCAAAAAAGGTGACAAATTCATCCATGATGTAAATTTCTCGCCCAATATATCACAAAATCTTTTGAGTGTTGGGCAAATGATGAGAAATGGATAGAAGCTGAATTTTGACAATGGAAGGTGTGAAATTTTCGATAAAAATTATGGAGACTGTGTAGCACAGGTGGAGATGACGGCTAACAATCTTTTTCCTCTCAAAATGGAGTCGCATGTTGCATTGAAGACTGCTGCCGAGGATGACACTTACCTTTGGCATTTGAGATATGGATATCTCAATTTCAAAGGCTTGCAGCTTCTACAGCAGAAGGACATGGTTGTCGGTCTTCCAAAAATCAGAAATTATGAAAAAGTCTGTGAAGGATGTATACATGGAAAAATGCAACGGCTCCCATTTCCGAAAGTTGCAGGGAGAGCATGTACACCTCTTGAAATTGTGCGCGCAGATATTTGTGGTCCAACAAGAACACCGTCATTGGGAAATAAAAGGTACTTTCTTTTATTTGTTGATGACTTTACGAGAATGATGTGGATGTACATCCTAGAGCATAAGTCGGAAGCATTTCAAAGGTTTATGCACTTTAAAGCACTTTCTAAAAAACAAAGTGGCTTTGCAATAAAGTGCTTAAGAACTGATAGAGGAGGAGAATTCATCTTCAAGCCATTCATGGAGTTTTGTAGAAAAGAAGGGATAAAAAGGCAGCTTACAGTCCGACACACACCACAACAAAATGGTGTAGCAGAAAGGAAAACCGGACGATTGAAGAAATGGCGCGAAGCATGCTTACTGGAAAATATCTCCCGAATGAATTCTAGGCAGAAGCTGTTCACACCGCTGTGCATATTCTGAATTTATCTCCAACGAAAGCTGTGCGAGACAAGACACCATACGAAGCATGGCACAAGAAGAAACCCGTTGTAAATCAATTGAAAGTTTTTGGCTGCATTGCCTACGCTTTAATTCCATCCAAGAATAGGGAGAAGTTCGATGGAAAAGGAGAAAAACTTATCTTTATCGCATATAGCGACGAATCAAAGGGATATCGCTTATTCAATCCATCAACGAAGGAATTGGTACTATCAAGAGATGTTGTCTTTGATGAAACCGCGACATGGAAATGGGATAAAGAAGAAACAACAGAAACCTTCATTGAGCTCGACCCACTTCTTCCACAACAATCATCCCAAAGAATTACTGATTCATGAAACAGTAACTCTCAGCAAGAAGAATCAGATTCGGATGAAGAGCCACGTAGGTATCGTTCTTTAGATGAAATTTATAAATCATCTAATGTTGCGTTATTTGCATGCGAGCCACAATCTTTTGAAGAAGCTATGACAGACGAAGCGTGGAAAAATGCGATGGACGATGAAATGAAAAGTATCGAAAGAATCAAACATGGAAGTTGGTGGATCTTCCCGAAGGAAAAGAAGCGATTGGATTGAAATGGGTCTTCAGGACCAAGTTCAATGAAGATGGAACTATACAAAAGTACAAAGCACGACTTGTGGCAAAGGGATACACACAACAGCCTGGAGTGGATTTTACGGAGACATTTGCACCTATAGCTAGAATGGAAACAATAAGAGCTGTTCTTGCAATCGCAGCACAATTGGAGTTGAAAGTGTTCCAACTTGACGTAAAAACTGCATTTCTGAATGGTGAACTAGAAGAGGAGGTGTACGTCAAACAACCACAAGGATTTGAAGCGAAAGGCAATGAAGAAAAAGTGTACAGGCTGCACAAAGCACTGTACGGGCTGAAGCAAGCGCCAAGATGCTAGAACAACACGATTGATGCATATTTCCGGCAAAATGGATTTCTGAAAAGTCCTTCCGAACCATCTCTATATGTGAAGAAAAGTGAGAATGATTTTTTGATGGTTTGCTATATGTCGATGATCTAATCTATGCAGGAACAAATGATGCAATGGTGAAATAGTTCAAAGAAGCGATGATGAGAAAGTGTGAAATGACCGATCACGGAGTGATGAAGTATTTTCTCGGCATTCAAGTAAAGCAAGAAAATGGAAGTATCTTCATCTCCCAGGAAAAGTATGCAGCAAACATGCTAAAGAAGTTTAGAATGGAAAAAATTGCAAGCCTGCTGCAACACCCATGGCCCTGAACGAAAGATTAAAGTTTGATGACGGTACAGAAAAATTCGACCCAAGCATTTATCGGAGCCTTGTCGGATCGCTCATCTACCTAACACACACAAGACTGGATATCTTACATGCTGTAAGTTTGATTCCCAGGTTTATGAGCAATCCAAGCAAGTCACATTTTGCGGCAGCAAAAAGGATTCTCCGTTACATTCAAAGGACAAAATGTCTTGGCATCAAATATTCGAGGGAGGAGAACAATGAGTTGATTAGATTCACGGACAGTGATTGGGCTGGAAGCCAAGATGACAAGAAGAGCACATCGGGATACATTTTTTTCTTGGGATCGAAAGCAATTTCGTGGAGTTCGAAGAAGCAAAATCCAGTTGCTATGTCATCCGTGTTAGGACTGGGTCAACTCAACACTAGTATGATATTGTCCGCTTTGGGCTGAGCCCGCACAGGTTTGTTTTTGGATATCCTCCAAAAGGCCTCATACTAGCGGAGTTCACTTGGGACTTATAAGGTGTCGAATTTTCTTCGCAATTCCGATGTGGGACTTGGGTTTGCACCCCAACAATCCTCCCCTCAAACCAAGGACCAACCAATGGACCTTCCCTATCCACCTTGTACCACTTATCACAAAGGGACCCGCTGCCTGACCACCTCGACCGGGACCAACCCGACACCGCCAGGAGACTTTCGACACAAGGCTCATCCGCAGGTCACAACGGCGAGCCCACCACCACAGCCAATGCCCAATGCCACCCAGTCCACTTCACCATCTAACCGCGCTCTGATACCACTGTTAGGACAGGGTCAATTCAACACTAGTATGATATTGTCCGCTTTGGGCTAAGCCCGCGCGGATTTGTTTTTGGATATCCTCCAAAAGGCCTCATACTAGTGGAGTTCACTTGGGACTTATAAGGTGTCGAATTTTCATCGCAACTTCCGGTGTGGGACTTGGGTTTGCACCCCAACAACCCGCAGAGGCAGAGTACATTGCTGCGAATGAAGCAGTTCGAGATGGAGTTTGGCTTAGAAGAATTTTGAAGGATTTGTTAAAGAGAGTTGATGGACCCACTGCAATTTTCTGTGATAATATGGCAGCAATTTCCATGACAAAGAATCCAGTGTTTCATGGAAGAACAAAACACATCGAGCTCAGACATCACTTTATCTGTACAAATGTGCAAGAAAAAGAAATATTTCTGGAGCATGTTAGGACCACAACACAGCTTGCCGATCCACTCACGAAGGCAGTCACCGAAGAGAAGTTTCAATAGTTCAAGAAAGATATTGGAATTACAAATTAAGAGGGGGTGTTATATATAGTTTGCAATCCCAAAATAAAAAGAATAAGGATTCCAACGCACCAATTCTCAAGGCAGTGAAGATTCAAGAACAGACTTTTACTATTCTCAATGTGTTAATAAATTTTACCTACTACAAATAATTTTCCTATAAAATACCCATGTAGTATGCGCATTTGAAAAACAAGAAAGCATCAACGTTTCTTTCAAATAAAATTTCTCTCTACTATAATTCTCTTCCACAACTCCTTATTTCCAACAGCATGCAGGTATCTGAAGATCAGAAACTTTTGAGGGAGAAAATCCTACAGCTAAGTGCAGATGCGGACATTGAAGGTTTGGAGAAAACACTTTCTGAGGAGTCTATCGTGAAATTATTTAATGCAAAGGAAACCAGAAGCTTAATCACACCACTGTCTGCATTTATCTCATCTTCTTCTCTGATTTCCCCTTCTTCTAGTAGCTCAGACAAAGAAGGTGAACCAACAGCTGTTGCTACAGAGAGAGTAGAGTCCGTATTCATATTCAGGGATGGGACAAATACAAATGAAGTCAAAAACATTGCATAGCATTTCAAAATATCCTGGGAAGAGTTTGGACATGAAAAATGCAGTCATTGTTAATGAATATGTCCATGGAGAACACATTGCCCTTTTTTATGATCCCAGTTTGCCTGGAAAATACCTAATTTACATGGTTAGTGAACTTTCGTCTTCTTTCTTTTATTTGTTTAGTAATGTTGTATGTTGTTTTGTTTATTTCTTTTTATATATTTATTAATTATTTTGGTCTATTATCTAATGGTTCTTAATTACCACATTTTAATAGCTTGCACCATGACCAGGTTCTTAATTACCACATTTTAATAGCTTGCACCATGACCAGGAAAAGTGGAAAGAGAATATAATGGAGAATGCCTACTGGGATTGGATTATTCAATCTATCAAACAGGATAATCCCGACTACAGTCATGTACTGAAATTGATGACAAAAGTGCGGGACGAAATCTATGTAATGGTTCCCCAGAGATGGAAGCAGGAAGTTATTGAAGATATCAACTTGGAAAGCCTTTCTCGGGTGCAGAACTAATTGTTTTGGTTTACCTATTGATCCAAGCTTTAGTATCCTTTTTATTTTTGGACACTAAAGCCAAATCACATTTTCTTTGGTTATTGTACTCATAGGTACTGAATTCAGGCAGCATAGATTTTCAGTATATATTGCAGAAGCTCTCTGCTGTATATATCTTACACCTCTAACGCCACAAAATATTTTGGTTTGTTATACTATATGCATTCATACACATATTCTGTGCCTTCTATAGCATCATTCGGCATCCCTACCTGGTTTAACACGAGATCTTGTCTGTTGCCGTAGAGACAGTTGGATCCGGTTTAGAATGCAACGGTGGCGAGATAGATGTATTGAAAAGGTTAGGCTTGACGAGGCTGGTAATGAAGGTAGCCGCTTTGACACAAGGACAGCTACCTAAAAATGAGCCTTAATCTTGCCAGACTTAGAAGTCGTGAAATCTGGAATTCAAATGATTAGTGTAATTGCAATCAGCA